ACGTACGTTTGACTGTGATGTTAAACTTCTTGGTTGTGTCTGTGTTATCCCCGTGTTGGAGGTCCACCCGGTATTCCATGCCGTCCTCCTTCACCAGGTCCCTGATGGTCAGGTCCCCTGCAGGAGAAAGAGGCCATTCACCCCTCAATAACTATTTTATGGTTATAGAAATCATCTTATGTAGAAATACAGTAGGGATGTCCCAATCAAGCTTTTTGTATTCAAGTTGAAAGTTATTTATCTACTTACTTAGTTGTCAGACTCATGTTGAACAGGGATTTACTCTTGCAACAACTTAATGGTTAGGACACAGACCTGTGGGTTACAGATGCTAATGCTAATGTTAATGCTCGTGTGGGATCTGACTTTTTAAAAAAATGGATCTGGAGTCTGGATCAGCATTTTCTCCTGCCGGCCGATACTATCCAAATATCGGATCGGGAGAAGACTAAAAAACAAACTAAAAAAGGGGAGGTGAAAAATTAATTTCATACTCAAACCAAAACCTCCACCCCCCCCCCCCAAAAAAAACAAAAAAACATCAATAATATCCTCATAAACTCACTATATTATTTAGGAAAAAAGCAATATTTTACTCACTTTTCTTGAAAAGACCGTTTTGAAAATGGTCTTGACAGTAAATCTGCCGCCAAATCATAAAATAGCTATTACACCAACATAACTGTATTTCGGTTTGTTTGCTAGCTTTGCCGCTGATTGGATATCTGACTATCCAATCAGTGGGCCTGAATACGGGGACGTTGCCTAAGGCCTTCTAGAAGGCCCCGGTGTCACCAACCTAAAATCTGATTGGTTAAAGCGTACTCGACATGTATTTTCTGTTGGAGGGCCTGCAGAACGGATTGTGAAGGCCTCCTGGCAGACATCTTTGACTTTGACCCTGCCTAGCGACAAATTATGGCTGAAATGTGATTGGTTAACTGCTTTCATATGAAAACGCATGTCTGGAAGCAGCGCAACCAGGGGAAAAGCTATGAAAGGAAGCGGACAGACCATTTAGAGATATTTGATAAGTATCCGTGGACAAAATATAATTAGCATCAGTCTGGGATTCAGGTATTTTCTTAGGCCTGCAGAGAAGGCCTTGCAGGCCCTGACGGACCACCACTGCCTCCTACCTGTGACCACGTCCAGCTCCAGCCGGCCTCCGTAGCGCGCCAAGCGGCGGGTGTTCTTCCTCCCGTTTTGGAACGTGGCGATCCAGGTGTTGTTCCGGAAGATGAACCACTCAATCCTGGAGACGTTCCACGTGGAGTCGGCTCCGGAGCGCAAGGTGACGGTGTCGCCCACATAAGCGGAGACCTCCTCATTGGACTGAAGCAGCTCCACTGGACGGGGGTTAAAGAGGCTTGTGTCCAGTGTGGGTGTCCAGTAACAATTTCAGTCAATATCAGCTCAGTAAAGAGTACCAAAGCCAGTTTAAACCATAAAATATGTGGTTTTACTGTTAGAATTAGGCTATAATTACTCACTTTGTAGATTTCTTGCTTTTAGTTAACTGTTAGCAGCTAGCTTGTTTTTGGTTGATTTTCCATTGAATGTATTGTTTTTCTTTGGGTTTTGTTGATAGAACTCTGTTAGTCTGAGAGCGACAGCCTGAAACGTTTGCTAAGGAGTGTTAAAATTTGGTTATAAATACTCACTTTAGCATAGTATGCTATCACATGATCTATGTAAATTACTGATTGTTTTTATTCCTTTTAGAACTGTACTTTGTGTTGATGTCTCTGGCTGTGTCCACAGACTCTCTTTTTCTCTCTCTGTTGCATTAGATCCACCTTTAGGTCAACACACACACACCATTTGTTACCACATTCCTGTCATCTGCATGAATTAGGACCTGGCCTGTTCCTGCCCAGAGGTAACTGGCCAATAGGACTTGGTTGTGTCCAGTCCTCCTTTGAGGAGGCGGATCGAGCCCAGGAGATAATGCCCATCACCCAGATCTCAGGGCTCTAACCCACTGAGACCCAGAGAGAGGTTTTTGTCTGCCAGAGCCCAGCTGATACACTTAACTGTGACCCAATAAATGTCCATTTTTATACCTTTGATCCATTCTGGTTTGTCCTCAGGTTTCCAGCTAAAGAATCGGGCCCAGCATATCTGGGAGGTCAAACCCATCGATTGGCCCCCCCTGATTGATTGACACAGAGAGGCATGACACGTGCAAAGTGGTGGCTGAACAGGCCCTTACCGACCGCCCACTCCTCACACGGTGGGAAAATCCCTAAAGTTTCACCACGGGATTCTTCAAAAAAAGGGGTAAAATCTACTTTTGTGAATGTTTTATGAGTCTGTGTCAACTGGAAACAGTTTTGTCCCATTATTGACCTTTTAAAAAAAAATCAAAACAGCCGTTTCTCTTCCACCCTCAGGCGGTGTTGAGGGCAAGTGCCCTGTTTGTGGGGCCCCCGGGGGCCTCTACCCGGCGTGGTTCAGGCCTCCTAACCGCTCCGGAATGGGTACTACCGTGACTTTAGCTACTCTAGCCACTCCGGCCGTGGCTGAGAGGTTTTTTCCGGTTCGTTTTCCAATGGGCGATCAAATAGCAACAAAGAAGCGTCCGAAACACCAAAGAAAACCGCCAGAAGATATTATATCTAGGATAAGATTTGGACATACAGGTTTAATAAATAGTAATCTGAAAATAATTCATAAGCATAATACAGGGTGTTGTAATTGTGGGAAATTGTAAACAGTCCAACATATTTTTTTAGAATGTAATAAATATACTCAAGAAAGAGAGATGTTGTGTGGAGAATTCGGCAGGAATAAAATAAAATTAGATATAAGGGATTTGTTTCAAAGGTCATCTGGGGATGTAGTTTTTGGAAGTATTTTCAGTTTTCTAAGAAGAACGGGTGTGTTAGAGAGAATTTAATAGATTGTCTGATCCATACTCCATTCTGGAAGGTGGCGGTAATGCACCTAAAAGTTGTATACCAACTGCCATTTAAAAAAAGAGAAGAACAAGAAGATGGTTGTTAGAATAAAAGTTCCATCTTATGGTCCATATTCTTTGATGTTTTTGGATGGGAACGTTTGGTGTTGGGCTAAACGTTGAATAAATAGCTGACCCTAAACTCCCCCTTTTCCGTCTCCTGACTTTTGGGAAGGTTAGTTAAATTTCTCCCAGTCTGAGCCCACCCCTGAGCTCTAAGGGTCACAATCAAACCGCTCCATCCTGTTAATGTGGAAGGGCCACATGATCATCCAGCCATTTTCTCACATTTCCCACTCATCCCCAATCAGGATCCCAGCATTGTAGCTTTTCTCTTCCATATTTAATGATGTTTAGTGAAAAGTAGTGACATTTTATTGCTCTGTTTACTCTTTTCTCTATTATAGATCAGGCTGAAAAAAACACAAATTTGAAATAAATAGCCGTGTCATCCAACGGTGAAAGAATCAGAAACTTCAGTTCTTTTTACCATAACCTTAATTTTATTGGGGTTTTTTTTGGTCTTTTAATATATACTCCTTAACAAATCAATGAATCTGTTATAAATATTGACAATTTTTTTTATTTACTCTTATTTCCACTCTTAATTTTCCAATACTATCAATGACTGTTAAGCCAGCGCTAAAAAAAATACCCTGTTCAGTGTTTCTTTTCTATGGTCTTTGTGAGGACCGTGTTTTGTAATGAAACGTTGAAACGAGGACATTTTGACAAAGTGAGGACCTGATACCAGGTGCTGCTATTTTCATTATATAGAGGCTATAATCTGTCACAGATCACCTGAAATGTTTGTAAATAGTACTAAGAATTTAGCTGCGAGCCAATCTCATTATCTTCTATGGGATTGGCAGCAACTATCAAAAAACTTTATAAGGCATAAATGTCATAGCAAAAACATGGACTAAAGAGATTTTTAAATACCATTGTGAATTCAACATGCACATACAGTCTGGCTTTACCACACAAGTGGACATTTGATCCAGATAAGTGACCACTGGTCAATTAGACCATTCTTTTAAAAAAGAAAAAAAAAAAAATTAAGAGGTTTAAATGAAGAGCGGTGCAATCCAACTCTGAAAAAAACCCCAGAAACTTCTGTTGTTTTTCCCATCACCTTCATTTTATTTTTATTTTTTTTGGTCTTTCATATGCTGAACACACAGAAACAAAAACGGAGAGCACAGCAGCCTGTTTCAGTTGATCCAAACTGTCACAAACACTGTGGTCTGAAAACAGCACAACAGAAACAGTGAATAAAAACTGGTGTTCGGTGAATAATCGCTGCATGGCTGCAGATTCACTTCAAACTAACTTTGACGCTCTTTGCAAAGCCCAAAGCAGGCTGTCTCTACCTTATTTACCTTAAAGCATTTCCCTTCAAACAAACAGCTAAAAACATTTTCTTACAATCAAAAGCATCCAATCACACATTTCTACTTCAATCTATTCATGATTTGATTTCTTCATTTGTATCTTAAAGGATTTAAACTTGGAAATAAACCCTGTCCTAAAAAGCTAACAAAACATCACCAGCACAGAAAAATCAATTAGTGGTTATATTATCCCCCATTTGATGATTTTACCAACTTATAAAGACTAATGATAATATGCGATTATACCAAATTTATCAGGGGTTCGGATAAACATTAGATTATCTAAAAAAGTTTCAACGAAAAATTTAATGGGGTCCTTCACCAGGTTGGAAATAAGCAGAGAAAAGGTCAGGATCTGAGCTCATATGTTCACACATCCAAGCTCCAGAACAGGACCAGACAGGAGTCAGAGGTCGTCAGGAAGGATCGGTCATTCAGTCACCTGAGAGGAGAAGCAGAAAACCCGTGGATGAGTCTTCTCTCTGAATCCGTTTGGGCCACTAACGCCACACTTATTCCACCTCTGTGCTCTGAGTCTGTGTCTTTATTCCCATCCTCTGAGGCTCGGGGTTCTGAGACCCCTCGGCATTTTTCAGGGACATGTTTATCTGCTACGGGCCTCACTATATCTACAATTCTGGCTTCCACACGATCACATGTTTATTTTTTCTATCGGTCAGATCTTTTTACAGGAACACGCTCACATGTAAGCATGGTGCTCATTCCCAGCTGCGGACTCTTACCTAATTACTCCAGGCCATGCTGATGAAAGCTGAACTTCCACGTCTGAACTTGGACCTGGCAGACCTCCTCCTTCTCTTACCGCCACCTGAACAATCCTGGAAGATGGAAACTGTCTTTTAGAGCCCAGAACTGAACACAAACAGTGATTCTTTCATTTGACTGGATCAAATTTAAGACGTTGAGCAGGAGGAGTTACATTTTAGCTGCTTTCCGTTCTTTCAGACTTTGACACAATAAGCAGCAGACACCACTGAAAATACCTCACTGATATACAGCAGATTGAGAAATCGCCTTCAGGAGTATTCATTCTGAGTCAGTATTTCACAGAACTGCTCTGAGAGAGCCATGAACAGAAACGCTCCCAGGGAGCCGTACCGGGATGCAACTGTTGTCCTTCTTGGCACACAGCTGCAGTCCGCAGTGCAGGTAGACCTCACCAGACTTCCCAGAAAACTCAAACATTTTGAAGGCGAAGTAGCTGAGGGTTCCTTCTCCATTTTTCTCGACATCCACCGTCCGATCGTCGGGATTTTCACAGCTGTTTGCACAAAGAGAGCCGATGATCAGAAGAGACGCTGATGAATGAATCCAGGAAGCAGCGGCTGCCAGGACGGAGCGTCTCACCCATTCAGGATCAGGTCGTATTTCGGGGTGCTGGTGGGTGAACTCTGGCTTGTTGCCCAGCAGGAGTCAATTACCAGAGCGACCAAGTTTCCATCCAGCCCGTCCGTCTCCAGCTCCACCCAGACCTTCTGGTTCAGCAGCACGTCGGTGTTCGGATCCACAAGTGTTGTACGGCCGGCGTCGGTGAAGGCCTTCATGGTCAAAGTGTAATTCAGAGTTCCAGATCTGATGTGCTGGACCACAGAGCTGCAGAGCACACACATAAACACACCGGCTGCCTTTACAATCCACAGCAGCATCACATCTCTCACAGTTAAACCAAAGCATGACAGCCAGCACTCACCTGTCTTTGACTCTGAAGCCCACAGTCTTCATCTCTGGCTGAACTTGAGTGCAGGAGAAGTCGATAGAGATTTGGTCTTGGCGAGTGATGACGCCGGAGGAGGCGTTTGGGCTCATAATGGTGTTCTCGTAAGTCACATGGCTGTCGTTGGCCTGCAGGGGCCAAAATCAGATGTTTTTGCTGAACCTGCTGCTTTGTGTTTGCACCGTTAACAGGTTTCAGAAGTGAAAATCTGCCTGAGAGTCAACAACAAGACGGGAGGCTACAAAAGAACTAAAGGGCTGAAGGAGAAGCCGGGCAGAGAGTCAGAGAGCGAGGAGGACGGGAGAACCCACCGTGACCACCACCCCACAGGGGTTGGTGCTGTTGAAGCTGAAAGTCACCGTGTCGTTCCCCTCGTCTCTCTCTCCCTTGCAGCTCTCATCGTTGAGATGTAAGACAGAGTAGTCGATGCCTTTCTCCCTCAGGAGGCAGCCCAGGAAAGTGACAGTGGCAGAGCCCTCTGTGCAGACTGCGGGGTCCCCTGCACACAGACGGACAGTTCAAGCTTTCCTCTCATCTCTCAGCCCCTTTATGTGGTGCAGCTGTCCCGCCGCTCATACCCAGAGTGCCTGATTCTCTGTACTTGGATGATTTTATGGCCCTACAGAAACAGGCGGCGTCACCGTCCGACGCTCCACAGAAGGCATCGTCACTGCAGAGCTGGTCCTGACAGGAGTCCGTGGGGGGGGCTGCAGAGAGACACGGTGATTTAACATCATGGAAAATGTCACAGCTGGAAATAAAAACGTCCTCTCCGGTGGCGCGGTGTCTTACGGCACTCAGCCTCCGACCACCATCCCTCCAGTGTGCTGTTGTTCATGCTGCAGGCTTTGGCATAGGCGCCCAGGAACTGACACCTGAGACCGTCCACTTCTGGGTATTTGCACAGAGTGTCCGAGCATGCGGTGATGTAGGGCGCGGGGTCGATCTCTTCGTGGCAGGAGGAGAAGGGGGCGTCCATCAGCAGGTTGCAGCTGTTCCACACACGGGAAGACAGAAGAAGAGAAACAGTCAACCGAACACCTCATTTCCTTTGTGTTTGTCCTCCGTCTCTGCTGGGGTCACATGATGCGGCCCACGTCACGTTGAACTGGATCCAGGTGCAGGCGCCTCCTGCTGCCTGGATGGATTAGCTCACCGATCAGTCACGGCGGTGCAGTTGATTGTACTGTCGGCAGGTTCGGTATACGGAGTGTCACAGCTGTGGATGAAAAACACAACAAGCTCAGGACTGCTGTCCGTCTGCGGACGGTTCAGAGAGCATCTGCTGCTCAGTCCCTGAGCTGGAGAAGAGGTGGTACCTGGAGGAGCTCTGCTGACGGTGCTTGGAATCCGAAAAGGAGCTGGAGTTCACGCACAGGCCAGAGAAATACTGCAAACCATACTGAACAAGGTCTGCAAAGGTTCAGGACAGAATGAGTCACAGCGCCACAAATGTGAACACTCAGTAAACACAGAAACACTAAAACAATTGATTACCTTCTGCATAGATCTGAGCTGTGTCACCATCAAAAAACAATGACATCACCGTCACACCTTGGATCTTCGCTGACGCATGTACTCCAGTGTGGTCTTTGAACAAATCAATCATTTCAAAGTTCTGGACTGTGCTGTTGAGGTCCAGCAACACGCCGTCTTTCTGCAGAAAGATGGAGAAAAGCCCACTGAGCTTATTTAACTGTTTCTACTTTAACTGATGGAAACTCTGAATAAATGTAACTTACCAGGACTCTACCGCCCTGTTCCAGGTGAAGCTCTATTCTCGGAAATGTCACTGTCAAGCTGTCCAGAAAGCTCACGTCTGTGCGACGGCGCTCCCTGAAGCTGCCTTGTATTTCAATCTTCAGACGGTTGTTCCTAATCAATGCGTAGGAGCAGCGATCCTCCACAGAGCTAACTGAGCCCAGTACGTCGACGACAGTGGGGCCGGTCACTGTGCACATGTACTTGCCCACACATCTAAAGGAGAGATAGAAAAACACAAAGGTCCTGAGTTCCCTCCTAGTTCCCTTATTTCCAGAAAAATCACTGAAAACCAAAGTGGAGGAAGAAGCAAGCCTCTTCATACTGGATTCATCAGCGGCTACGTGGAGCCACCAGCAGGCTGCGGCCGGCATTTTACGCAAATACCTGTCCACATCAAACTGGGAGTCCTTCTGACTGATTTAATCCCTGATTTGATTGTTTGGAAGTATAAACAGAGGATATTTACCTTCCAATACCATTGCAGCCTTCCCAGGCATTGCACTTTTCTGTTAGTGTTACGGTTCTGTTCAAACTGCATGATACAACTTGGCAGTTCTCAGGTATTTCTGTATTGGTATTAGGAACAATGCCAATCCCTGAAAAGTGAAGAAAGGTTTTCATGAGTTTTGGATGTCACAGATTACCTCCTTTTCCCAACATGGCTCTTAAGGATATTTTTGGGACCAGTGATTGACCAACCTGCATATCTGCATCCACTAATGTCTACCATGTCATCTGTGTCACTACTTTGAACTGCGAGAGTAGCAGCTTTATATTGTTCAACCAAAACTTGAAAATCCTGTTCAAAGAGAATCACAGTCAGTGATGTGAAGAACTAATTTCAGATTTTCATGACATTACATTTTAGGCTCTAAATAAATCACGTCCAACCTTTTAAATGAGGTTTATTTCATGTTTATATCTTCATGATCAGCAGACACATTTCAAATAAAGGCTGATATTTCCAGCTGAATCCTGCTCAGCTCAAACATGCTGTAGGGTATTTTTGAAAATCTCAACTTAATTTTTCATAGGTTGGAGCTTTGCGGCTGAGACCTGTTCCAGGATCCAAAAGAAACGATATCCTCCACTGAAGTCACGTTTTGTACTTTTATTTTAAAACAAAAATGAATACAAATGAAAATATGCCTACTAACCTTTCATAAATCTAAATCTAAATGCAATCGGCACGGTCAGGAAACCGTGAGGCACCAACCCTCCTGCTGCCGTGTCAATCTAAGAATGGCTACCTTACTGGGCACTGCTCAGAATTCCAACGTCATTAAAGGCCCACCAAATAACGTCCTGTAATTATTCTAAATCAACATTTTTAAACTTGTACATTTGTTTTACCCTAAAATATTAATATCACTCATGAATGTAAATGAAATATCAAATACACATAATATTCCACATTAAGCATAAAATAGGCATCTGGTGCCTATACATGCCCTCACAGAATTAAAACTCCCCTCAAACAAATGTTAATACTCACCATAGGAATCTGTGAAGATGTTGGGTAGTGTAGGTCCGCAACTGATTGATTTCCAAAACTATGTAGAAGCAGGGTAAGCTGTGTGGAGTTAAAAGAAAAGATGAACTGTCGTAACATTTGATCTGAAAGCTTTTTAGAACAACATTTAAACTGACCCCTCAAATCCAGGTACAAATTATTTTGCTGTTTAATCTGTTTGTCTCATAGGGAAAAGATTGCACACTCACCTGTGTACCTCCTTTGACTGCTGAAAACCATACAGTGCAAACCATGCCTTCTGTAATTGTTTTGACTTCGCTTTTGATAACGGCTTCCTTTAATAAAAATGCATTTGTGACTTCCAGAGTGCCTCCACTGACTCCGCGACCTAACTCAATACAGTCTCGTTTGAGTGAGGAATCGAAAAATCCATCAAAGCAGATGTAGTATCGAGTGCTGCTGACGTTCACCTGTAAAAGATCATAGAAACAAATCAAATCTGAATCTTTTCTTTATTTTCACACAGCTTGGTTTTCAATGTGTTGGTAATTATGGCAGCTTCAAAAAGTCTATCATCCCTGCTACAATGAGCTGCTGATGAGCAGCAAACTGCTCCCACAGGAGCTCAAAACTTTCAGCCTGCTCAGGTTTAACTGGTGTGCACAAACTTTGACCAGACTGACTGAGTTTAAAACTCATCCTGGTGGCCCAAAGGCTCCATCCTACTCACGTAGACTTCAGTGTAGACTTTCTCAAAGAAGGTGATGGGACAGGAGCTGATGCTCAGCGTTGTGCTCTCAGTTATTGACACTGGCACAGCACCTGCAGAGATGAAGACACACGAGACGTCTGTGAGCAGGCCGGGAAACGCGCACAGCTGCAGATAAACATGGACAACTTTACTGTTGTTTTTAGGCTGCTAAAAGTTTGTGTTTCTTCCTCATTTGGACATTTAAATCCACTCTTCAGCACCTTTTCACACCTTTTGAAAAGCCTTCCTGTGTGTTTAACCCGTCTTTGTTCAATGAACTGTTTGCTGCTGCACTGACTTCATTAATTAATTGGTTTTATTTCATTCAGGAGAGTAAAGCTCTGACCTTTGGCTGCTCTCTGTCCCACCAGTATGCTTTCATTCAGGATGTGGGAATAAGCGCCTTTGTTCAGCTACAGAGGGGAATGTTTGTGTGTTTGTGCAGGGTGCCCGGCTTACCTGTCAGAGTGATGGCAGCACACATGTAGAGAAGGGGGCGGAGCATGTTGGAGCTGGGCCAATCCGCTGACCGAAACCTGGAAGGCACATGATTACTGAAACAACACTCACTGACTCTGTTTTCCCTTCTGGAAAGAAGGAAGCTCTCTACTGGAAAGTGAAGGCTGACGTCTCCGAATCCTTCAGGTTTGGATAAACGGGGTTCACAGCAGCTGCTCAGCAGCGCATTTCAAACTGCATGAAGCAGCTGTGATGATGGACGCATGGACACGTTGTCCAGTTTGAGATAAATCCACCTGACGCTGCTCGTTTCACTGTTTTTAAGATTCACTCAATTCAAATGATCTCTTAATGTTGAATGTATTATAATAAAAGTCTTAGAGAAATATTAATTAAAGGTAAACACCAACATGTGTGCCTGGTGTGAATGTTGCCGCAGCTACAAACAGACCGTGCAGACTTTGTAAATGTTTAAGCTTTCTCATCATTAAAAAGATGGCTGAGTCGCCAGGTGACATAAAAGCCCTGATAGAGCCTCAGAGTTAAACCGGAGTGTGTGTAAAACAAACCTGAGCTGCTGATGAGGAGCGTCTCTTCTGGTATCTGCTGGAGAAAAGAGCACAAACAGAAATTGTCACGGTTACTCCAGCAATTTGCTCTT